TGATAAACTAGCATCCAAAACACTGTGTGATTCAGACATGATGTGATGTTATACATGCCCTGTCCTCAAACCCACACATGATTTTGGAACATGCTGTACTCTCTGTATATAGCCAAACCGGAAGAATTCTTTATTCTTTAGGGAAAAAAAATCATGGTACAGCTTTCTTATTTCTTTCCCTATGTGTTACCTATAGGATCTGCTTGTACCAACTTGCATTAATTCAGAATCTCCAACTTTCTATTGCTATATGCAAGTCCTTGAACTGGGCTGGTGCTACAGTGCCCAACACCAAAAAAAAAGTTGACTGAAAATTTATTTTTAATGTCATTCAGCACAAGTATACCATCAAAGATAGATGTGTGGTAAGACAGCCTGACCACAAAGTTCTCATGTTCATGGCCTTACTAGAATTTCTTTTAGTTGACATTTTAATAGCTATATAATTTTTTTTCTGCTCATCTCCTATCAAGGTGTTATAGACCCTTGAATCAAATTCCTACTTGGAGCAATTGTTGCATGGTCTACAAAGGTACACAGTGCACTGACTAATAAAGCCCTTTAGCTTTTTCTGTTCTTCATTGTCTATCTTGCCAATTAAATAGTTTTAGAGACCCTGAAGGAATTGTTAGTATAGAATTACATACCTTCCCAGAATGTAAATTCTAAATCTCAGTAAATGAGAGGCATATTTCTGCTCTGGGAAATGTTCCATGCATAAATTCAAAGAAATTTAGGGGGGACTGTTAGATGATGATTATTTATTTTAATTTTGAGAAAACAGCAAAGATTTCAAGTATCAAACGAACCTTTCAAAATGTTATTTGAAAGGTAGACAAAGGAATGCTTCCCTTTCCTTCCCTTCCCTTCCCTTCCCTTCCCTTCCCTTCCCTTCCCTTCCCTTCCCTTCCCTTCCCTTCCCTTCCCTTCCCTTCCCTTCCCTTCCCTTCCCTTCCCTTCCCTTCCCTTCCCTTCCCTTCCCTTCCCTTCCCTTCCCTTCCCTTCCCTTCCCTTCCCTTCCCTTCCCTTCCCTTCCCTTCCCTTCCCTTCCCTTCCCTTCCCTTCCCTTCCCTTCCCTTCCCTTCCCTTCCCTTCCCTTCCCTTCCCTTCCCTTCCCTTCCCTTCCCTTCCCTTCCCTTCCCTTCCCTTCCCTTCCCTTCCCTTCCCTTCCCTTCCCTTCCCTTCCCTTCCCTTCCCTTCCCTTCCCTTCCCTTCCCTTCCCTTCCCTTCCCTTCCCTTCCCTTCCCTTCCCTTCCCTTCCCTTCCCTTCCCTTCCCTTCCCTTCCCTTCCCTTCCCTTCCCTTCCCTTCCCTTCCCTTCCCTTCCCTTCCCTTCCCTTCCCTTCCCTTCCCTTCCCTTCCCTTCCCTTCCCTTCCCTTCCCTTCCCTTCCCTTCCCTTCCCTTCCCTTCCCTTCCCTTCCCTTCCCTTCCCTTCCCTTCCCTTCCCTTCCCTTCCCTTCCCTTCCCTTCCCTTCCCTTCCCTTCCCTTCCCTTCCCTTCCCTTCCCTTCCCTTCCCTTCCCTTCCCTTCCCTTCCCTTCCCTTCCCTTCCCTTCCCTTCCCTTCCCTTCCCTTCCCTTCCCTTCCCTTCCCTTCCCTTCCCTTCCCTTCCCTTCCCTTCCCTTCCCTTCCCTTCCCTTCCCTTCCCTTCCCTTCCCTTCCCTTCCCTTCCCTTCCCTTCCCTTCCCTTCCCTTCCCTTCCCTTCCCTTCCCTTCCCTTCCCTTCCCTTCCCTTCCCTTCCCTTCCCTTCCCTTCCCTTCCCTTCCCTTCCCTTCCCTTCCCTTCCCTTCCCTTCCCTTCCCTTCCCTTCCCTTCCCTTCCCTTCCCTTCCCTTCCCTTCCCTTCCCTTCCCTTCCCTTCCCTTCCCTTCCCTTCCCTTCCCTTCCCTTCCCTTCCCTTCCCTTCCCTTTTCCCCAGTAAGACTGTGCGGCTGCTGCTGTCACAGCCAGAGACTTTTAAAGGCTTCCATGTCCTATTGTCTGTGCCAGCAAGTCACTCTCAGCCTTTAAAGCTCATTCCCCTTTGCTGACTTCCAAGCAGCATTCAGGGTTCCCCCAGTCTAATGTGTATAATAATAACCATCACCCCTCCAACCCTGATTTAAGTGCAGACTAAGTGAACTGGAAGTATCCAGGCTCTGTGATTGAATTGGTACCTAAAGGAAAAATCTCTTATAATGAGAAAAAGGCTATGGGATAGAAGAAGCTGTAAAGAATCCTAAAGTCACCTATTGTCCTTTAAACTCATGCTATAGACTAGAACGGAAGTCTGTGACTCTTTAGTCAGCTGAAGCATTTCTTTCTTTAAACCCATTTATATCTTTAAAAATTGACTGTGATGTAGTTACATTTACTAGTTCATCTCTGCCCTTCTCACATTTTCTAGTGCTTTCCATTCTGTTGAATTGATGAATTGATTAATACATATTAACCACTGTAGCACACATAAATCTGTGACAATCTGCTACTATGGCTGTTCGGAAATTAATTGCCGATTTCAACCTGTATGTTTCAAGTGGCATATCTCAGCTCAGAATAAAATTTATTAATCGAAATAAAACCAATTAGAATCAACACATTTTTACCAACAAGAAAACAGCATATTTATTCTGGTTGCATATAATTCTGGACTTCTGGAGGCGATGAAGTCATCGAAGGCAGTTTCAGCCTCCCCTTGGTTTCTGAAGCATCTCCCACACAGGAAGCTGTTGAGATGCTTGAAGAAGTGGTAGTCGGTGGGCGAGAGGTCTGGTGAGTACGATGGATGAGGCAGAGTTTCGAAGCCCAGCTTATTCAACTGTTGCAGCATCAAAAGTGCAACATGTGGCCACGTGTTATCGTGGAGAAGGATTGGACCCTTTCTGTTGACCAGTGCTGGGCACAGCTGTTGAAGTTTCTGGTGCATTTAATTGATTTTCTGGACGTGCTTCGCCGCCGTGATCGTTTCACCCCGATTCAGGAAGCTGTGATGGATTAAACCAGCATCAGACCACCAGAGAGTCATCATGACCTTCTTTTAGTGCAGATTTGGCTTTGGGAAGTGCTACGGAGCTTCATCGTGGTCCAACCACTGAGCTGATCATCGCCGGTTACCGTAGAGTGTTCATTTCTCGTCGCATGTCACAATATGGTTGAGAAATGGGTCGTTCTGGTTGTGAAAAAGAAGCACTGACGACACTTCAAAACGGCGATTTCTGTGATTCTCATTCAATTCATGCGGTGCCCATTTGTCGAGCTTCTTCGACGTTCCAGTCTTCTTCAGATGCTCAGAAACAGCTGATATGCTTACCCTGAGTTCTTTTGCAAGTTCTCGAACAGTTGTGCGTGTATCTGCTTCCACCAGAGCCTTCAATTCGTCGTCGTTAATAGCAGAAGGATATCTGTGACCTTCTTGAGCTTCAAGGTTGAAATTGCCACGTCGAAATTTTTGGAACCAAAGTTGCACTGTCCGTTCATTAACACTTCCCTGGCCATATACCTCATTAATGTTTCAAGCAGCTTGCGCTGCATTACGTCCGAGTTTGAACTCATAGATCTGTTGGAATTGCTGTTTTGACATCTGAACTTCAAACCTCCAAAATTTGTCAAAAATGCAGTTTATATTATAATTTAATTATACAGAGTGAAAGTTCATAACATGAGCTTTTCAAAAATATATCAGTACGCCAGTCAAGAAGGTACTATTCTTGTATAAACATATACAATGAAAATCACATTAAAAAAAGAAAAAATTCCGAACAGCCTGTAGATTAACAAGATTTCTGTGAACTTAACAAAATTCAACAAAATACCAAACCCAAGTTTTTTGAAAAAAATAAGATGATATAAAAATTGTTTTTTGCAATAGGTTGCTGAGAAATGTAAATGAGTGATGAATATGTACTTCTGATATCTGTATACACTCAAGTGGGTAGTTAGTCTGACATCATAGACCCCAGTTGTTTAGTATCCTACTTTTATTAAGTATAAAATACAGATTCCTGACTCTGATTAGTTATTCTCTGGTCCATTTCTGGAGAACTGTATGCTTTCCTGGCTGTGGGAGGACACTGTGCTTCCCTGGAAGTACCTGTCTGTTCCTGCCATCCCTGTCTGTTCTGTGATACTTGGGGAAAATAATAGCCATTTTTTGTTTACTCCTTTCTTGTTAAGTATTTTTAGATTCTCCAGTGCACTCTCTGTTCAAGAGTGCTTCTTGAAGGAACAAACTCATATCTGCCTATTCCTAATTCAGGAAATAATTACTATTTTTAAACAGTGAAAATACTGAGTGAAATTACACCAGTGCAGACAGTTCAGTTTCTGTACACAGCAAATCTGAGAGAGAATGACCAATCTATAAATGAAGACCTTTGTTTCCCATGTTACAAAGCAGAATGTCACAAAAAATGCACTACTGTAACACATTTATTTTTTGCTAAAACATCTATGGGCCTAAACCGGGAATTTAGCATCCATTATAACTTTTCATATCATCACATTTAATAAAATGAGAAACTGTCTCCATGTATTTGCAACGAAGGCATGTGATAAAGGGCAATGGGTTAATACAACAAAAAGAGAAAAAGGTAAAAATGAAAAATACTTTCATTAGCAAAATGAGAAGCAAATGTGATCTGGATATGGCCAAGTGGTACAGGTACATTTTAATAAGTCTTGAAGAAGACAATGCAATGGCTTAGTTTTTTGCAAATCTTATCACTGTTTATGTAAAAACATAAAGTTCTTTTAAGTCTCCTATGATTTAGATAATCAGAATTCTTCCAAGGGAATGAAATGGTCATAACTATTTCATAAATACGTGTAGCACAAAAATCGCCATGTCTTGCTTATTTTTGTTTGCTCAGTTTCATTTTACTCTTTCAGTATATTGCAGTTCCTGTAGAGAGTGAGGTTGTACCAAAAGACTGAATTCCTGTGGTGTAAATTAGGGTTTCATAAGACTAGGGAACTTTTAGTTTGTCATTTTATTACCAGCTGGTTTCTGTCTGTAAATTGCAGGTGAATCTGTCTGGAAAGTCTTCTTCTTCACTCCAAACTTCAGTCCTGAAGACTCCAATGGTTGCTATGATTCTCATGTTTGCTTCTGCCATGGAGGATTCATCACATGGCATGATCCCCCACTGCTCTTTGATCTCTCCAGTGACCCTGAAGAAAAAGTCCCACTGACTCCAGAAACGGAGAGTCGTTTCTACGAAATCCTCAGGGTCATACACCTAGCAGTAGACAACCACACCAGATCCCTCCATGCTGCCCCTGACCAGTTGTCATGGAACAACCTTCTCTGGAAGCCATGGCTCCAGCTGTGCTGCTCATCTCTCTTTCAGTCTTGCTACTGTGACTATGACTCAGAAGGGAGCCTGCTGGAGACACATTCGGGATAAAAAAGCTGCAATTTCCTGACAGAAACTGGAACAAGAGAGTGTGGGTAGCTGACTTGAACCACTGCAGTACTAGCTTTCAGAAGGTTTTGTTATGTAGGAGGACCTGTCTTCAAATACATCACTGCAGTAGAAGAGAATTTCAGTCAAAAAAATGTGCCAAGAAAAGGAGGGCAAGGCACACCTTTTCTGTCTTTATAATGCAAGAATCAGTGTCAACCACATGTTGCCATCCTCATTGACAAATGGGTAGCTGTAGCTATTTTCTAGATGAAATTATTTCCTAGACCTTCAGCTTCAGCTTTTTTTCTTACATATCAAGGAATTTACCTATAGTTTCTGTCAATTACAACTAAAAGATCACATTTTCCTGTCCTTTTTGTTCAGTGTTATCCACAATTAGTAGGACATAGCATCAAGTAGAGAGATAATAGGAGAGAGCTCCACCTGTAACTATAATTTGGTAACTGATAAGAGTAGACCTGTAACAGTATCTCTATCAACAAGCATCACAGATATGAAATAATAAACAGATTGCCAACAATTTAACATTGCATGTGCCATAAAAATGTAGACAGATATTTAGGGAAAATCTTGCATCCACATTAAAGATGTGCTCCCTAGCTAGTGTTCTATTGCATTTTCTTTTTCAAAAGGAAACCACTTCAAGTGTACCAGTTGCGTGCTTGAGTGTATACATATATGTGCAAGACAGATTCGTAACCCCAAAACAACTCATAAATCCTTCAAGCCCTGATACAGACACATGCTTATGGTCATAGCTCAGTTGCTAAAAAGAAAAAAGTAGTTCATACTTGATATCTGAGTTCCAAATTCACATGACATTACAAAGATATCTTTCACTATCTACATACCATACCTGTTCTTTCACTGATGATTGTAGTGTACATTACAAATAAAAAAAATTGGTCTTCCTTTAAATGTCTTTGCCATCATTTAAGTTCTCTGAATAGGATCTATCATTTTCTAAGAAGAAACTTGGCCTTGAGCACATAAAGCCAAATATAACTGTCTCTGAGTTCTTAGCAAGGCCTTGGGAAATCTACAGTACTTCAGGGCTAATTTCTGTATCCATTTTTATCTGCACCTTATTCAGGCAGATTTTCTTTTCACTCTACAGGCAGACAAACTATTTTCTCTGGCAGATTGTACCAGAGGAGAATATATCAGCAAAATACTAAAATGATTTTACTGAATCACAGAATCATCTATGTTGGAAAAGACCTTGAAGATTATCCAGTCCAACCATCAACCCAACACTGACAGTTCCCAACTACACCATATCCCTCAGAGCTATGTCGACCCAACTCTTAAACACCTCCAGGGATGGGGACTCCACCACCTCCCTGGGCAGCCCATTCCAACACCTAACAACCCATTCTGGAAAGAAATGCTTCCTAATATCGAGTCTAAACCTTTCCTGGCACAATTTGAGGCCATTCCCTCTTGTCCTATCACTTGTTACTTGGTTAAAGAGGCTCATCCCCAGCTCTCTGCAACCTCCTTTCAGGGAGCTGTAGAGGGCGATGAGGTCTCCCCTCAGCCTCCTCGTCTCCAGACTAAACACCCCCAGTTCCCTCAGCCGCTCCCCGTACGACCTGTGCTCCAGAGCCTGCACCAGCTCCGTTGCCCTTCTCTGGACACGCTCGAGTCATTCAATGTCCTTTTTGTAGTGAGGGGCCCAAAACTGAACACAGGAATCGAGGGGCGGCCTCAGCAGTGCCGAGTACAGGGGTCAGATCCCTTCCCTGTCCCTGCTGGCCACTCTATTGCTGACACAAGCCAGGATGCCATTGGCCTTCTTGGCCCCCTGGGCACACTGCTGGCTCTGTTCAGCTGGCTGTCAATCAGCACCCCCAGGTCCCTCTCTGACTGGCAGCTCTCCAGCCCCTCCTCCCCAAGCCTGTAGCGCTGCTGGGGGTTGTTGTGGCCCAAGGGCAGCCCCCGGCATTTGGCCTTATGGAAACTCCTCCAGTTGGCCTCAGCCCATGGCTCCAGCCTGTCCAGGTCTCTCTGCAGAGCCTCCCTGCCCTCGAGCACATCAACACTCCCACCCAACTGGGTGTCATCTGCAAACTGACTGAGGGTGCACTCGATCCCCTCGTCTAGATCATCAATAAAGACGTTAAACAGGAGTGGCCCCAACACCGAGTCCTGGGGGACACCACTTGTGACCAGCTGCCAACTGTATTTAACTCTGTTCTCCACAACTCTTTGGGCCCGGCCACCCAGACAGTTTTTTACCCAGGAATTTGTTGCCTGATAATAGAAGGTGACTTGCTCCTTATCAGAAAACACTAGTTAATGCCAACATTATAATATATTAACATTCCTTTGGTAAAAAAGTGAACTGTGATGATAGTACTGCAATAGCTTCAATCAGCCAACATTAAGGTTGTGACCTGGTTCTTGGGAGCTATTGAAGCCTGTCCTGTAAAAATACATTGTGATATATGGTATATTTCTGTGTCTGTAAAACCTGGGCTTTATTTGATTTTCCTGCTGCAGTTTCATTCAAAATTTAATTCCCCACAATATCCAGATGCCTGTCCTGGGAAATGCTGTACTGTTTCCTTGAAGTCCTATTTTTGATGTTTCACTTTGTGGTCATGCTTGTGTATCTTAAGCATGTGCTTTGCAAGCCCTCTGTAGGCAGCAAAGTCTTGTGTATGCTGATAGTTAGTCTGTCTAAGTATTTCCCTGATAACCACTCAGGACTGTTTATATTGTACCCAGAAAGCTTTCAGATGGCCATTCATGTGTCATAATTCCCTCTTTGCTTTTTTAATCTCTGAATGTACTACAAATTTAGCAAGAAAGATGACTGCAATCTGAATATACGTACTCTTCTGCAGTAATAGTAGCTGCCTCTTGACATCTCATCAGGATCCATACATCCCAAAGTTGTGGTTCCTCACCATGTGGCCCAAGAACCCCATCAGTCACGGTGCTGGTGCCTGTGTGCTTCACCCTGCAGCTGGTGGGCAGCCTGGGCTGCAGCCAGGTTGCTGGCTGCCCTGGCACTGAGCACCACAGCATGGGGGAGATACTCTCTAGAGCTCCTACGTCTCTGCTGCAGCTTACACGAAACGTTTCAAAATATTCCTGCTGAAGCATATGAGAGAAAACATGTTGTGTGTAGGTATACTGCAGTAACTCAAACAAGGTGTTTGGTGCCATTGGATCTGTTTTTTTCCCATGGTTGCTGGACTGTGACTTTAACAGGGTTCTCAGTTTATATTCTCAAGGACATCCACATCTACTTCTTTTCATCAGGAAAATGCTATGTTGCTGTTATTTCTTTTCTTTCTTCAGGTGCAAGAAGTATTTGTTTTGTCAGGCACAACAACTGTTCTGTGCTGCCTGACAGAGATATCAAAAATGATGACTTTTCTACTTCTCTGATTTCTTCTTGCCTGAATATGGCCTTTCTTTCATAACATTCTGGCTTTTGCTGCCATCTCTCTAATCTCTTTTGTTAAAATGTCCGCACCTCTCAAATACTTTTTCACCTATTTGTTTACTACTCAGTCCTCCTGTTTGCTTGTCATGATGGCTATTTTGCCCTCATCAGTGAGAAAATGGAAAGTGAGCTTTGTGAAAAGTTTTGACTTCTGGGGCTCCTTGACTCTGCTAACCTGATTATTTAAGGTTTAGCAAGGATTAACTTTATGTTACGAAGTCTAAGAAATTAAAACACATCCAAGACACTGTGAATAATATGTTATTTCTTGTTTGTGGCACAAGCTTCATATTTTCCAAAACATAATTTAGTACACCATTTAATATTTTGACTGAAGCAGTAAAATCTGAAATCCATTTTTCAATTGTTCCTTCAAGAAAGAATCTGTTAAGAATATAATTTTTCACACTCTATGTTAATGCCACTTCATTTAATGCCTAAAATAAACCTTCCTTGTATTGCAAATGTATTATACCTTTCAGTACCTTCTGTTCTGGAGATGGCATGTCAGATCATGATAATTAAAGTAGTCTTGTTTATCTGCAAAATAAAATGAGAAGCACAATATGCAATTTTTGTAGTGGCACTGCCTGATCTAACAAGGAAACGTTTTGGCTTTCAGAAGAAGTTATTGACGGGATAAACCTGATTCACATTTTATTAACAAGGAAGGCTCAAGGAGAATGTGCTGCTCTGGTACTTTATGACTGATTTTCAGTCTATAATTTCATGAGTGTCTGCATTGTAACATGGTACCTATTTGTAGAATATGTCAGTTTAAAGTGGGAGTTAAGCTTCAGAAGGAAGTGTATTCCTCTACAGTAGTATTTAATGGTAACACATCCTAGTTTGTCAGTGAGTCCCTCTATGGCCCAGAGCAAGGAATTTAACTCTGTTTTCAGTTCCTTCTTTGCATCCAAAGAAGGATAACTATTTCTCTGTTAGGAACACTGAAAGAACAAAAAATGCTTAAAGTGGTAAGCTGGTAAAGATGCACTTTCTACTCAATAAGGCACCTTCTTTAGAGAAGGTACAGTTTAAGAGATGGAAAACTAGGATGTAGGACATCCCCCTATACTAAGAGGTGTAAGATACCCTTAACTTCAGGTTTGCAGATAGGTTCTGTGCTTACTCTTTAGGACTTGTGGGATTGGGGCCTGGAGGAGAGAGAACAGATGGGTAGAAAAGATGCACACTGGGGATTCAGAGAAAGATAGTCACATTTTTCTAATTATATTTATTCTCTCTTTTAGCAGATATTGGAGACTACATGGAATTATTTAAATAACATTTCCCCCTCAGGGATTGGATGTCACAGGTTCTTGGCTCTTAAAAATAGAGATGTCCTGAGTTGCCTCAAATTACCGTGTCAAAAAAAAAAAAAAAAAAAAAAAAAGGCAAATATGAGCCTTGGAGACAGGTGTCAGCTCACTGAAATCCAACTGAAAGTTTGCAGAGAACTAAATGAATATGGTCCATATCCACACAACTCAGTGAGAATCATCAGTAGAATCCATAGTTTATTTTGTATTGTAGTAATGTGAGATCTGGGTGTTCAGATGTGTGGACAATGTAGAAAGTTTCACAAAAGGTGTGACCTGATATAGGAACAAATGGAAAAAGAAAGAAAAAGAGGGCAATATAACTCCAAAAATCCTGTGTTCTAAAAGAGTATATATATTAAAACATAGGGGATTTTGACTCACATTAGGACATGATAGTTCTGTGCATAAGACAGACCTTTTCATCTTCTCTGTCTTTTCACTTTACTCTGACTTTGGTTGTGCAGCATCTGAAATATGTTCTGAGGAGATCACTGTAAAGAGGAGTCCATGTAAAGAGGAGTCCACCCTGCCCAAGCACATGACAAGCAGAGTGGCTGGCCATGTGGGCAGGAGGAAAGTCTGGCATAGCAAAATGCTGCACTGGCAAGCACCAGGGACCAAATGTTTTCTGGGGGTTATCTCCAACCTGAAGACAAAGGCCTACGAATTGCTGGTTCCTCTGGGTCTGTCAGGGACTGCGGGTGACCAGAGGAATAAGGTGACCTCTGCAGCTGGCTGGAATGCAGCATATTCTGCAGCAGTATCCTTTGTTGTCAGACTGTCAGGTGGAAATTTGCTTGGGGCCCACAGGATGGGACACCTTGCCTCTGAGTAGACACGCCAAGCAGGCTACTCCTAAATCATCATTCAGGAGGTGATAGATCTTAATCTGAAGCTCTGGATCTAAGACAGCGACAGTCACACATTTTAATCCCTAGAAGACCAGAAGACCTGAGCCAGGCTCTAGAGGCTCCCAAAACTGCAGATAATTCAGGGAGTCGTGGAAACACCCTTATAGACCATATGGCTTTTCCAAAATATTATTATGTTCTTCATAGCTTTTATTTATATAAAAGCCAATAAGAATCTGCCTAAAACATCA